TCATCTTAACTTAGAGCCCCCTATAAAAACTATAATGTCAGTGTACTACTGCACAACTCACAGTTCCCTTAAATGATCCTTGTAACTTGTCGACGTCCACAATACCTTTCCCAACGTAGCCTTCCACACGGCTGACGATTCCAATAACAATAAATAACTCCAACAACTCTCTGTAGTCCGGCTCTGTAATAACACTAGCTCGTCTGGGGTCTTCACGACAACACTAACTCACTGAAAATGGCCTATAGCTTTAACTGATCGCGGCTCTTTATATATCTTTTACAAAATGTTCCAGAACATTCTTATCGCGTTCTCAGCGCAGTGTTGAACCAAACACGAAGACTATGCAAATCAATGTGTTTATTTATCTTCAGTGTCGAATGGTGAAACTACATGCAAATAAAATACAGAAAACGATGAAACGGAACTAGAAGACAGAAAAGACAGTAAACTCTGCCGAAACTAAATACGCAACACACCCTTTAAAAGCACACACAGCCCACAATTCCTCTATTCGCTCCGACAAAGGGCTAACGCTCGAAACGTCAGCTTTTGTAATCGTTACGGTGGCCAATTTACCATTTCAACTTTGTTGATATATCCAAATTACACCCAAACAGTCCTACCCTAAGGCCCAAAATGGCGATTACGTCATAGACCCTGATGGAGATGGTGGAGTGAAACCTTTTAAAGTCTACTGTAACATGACTGACAAGAACGACATTGGAGTGACTGTCGTCAGTCATGACAGTGAAAACAGAACATTGGTGGTTGGGTGTGAGCGCCGAGGCGCCTATTCTGGCAATATCAGTTACACAGAGGCTGATATGGCTCAACTGGCAAAGCTGACAGCCCCATCAGCTCACTGTGAGCAGTTCATAAAGTACGAGTGCCGTTGCTCAGTGCTCCTCAAAAATGGTGACCCTTGCGGCTGGTGGGTGTCACGTGATGGAGAAAAGATGAAGTACTGGGGAGGAGTTGATTCCGGTGATTACAAATGCACCTGCGGCCTGAACAAGTCATGTGCAGCCAAAGACTACGGATGCAAGTGCGACGAAAATAGCGGAACGTGGCGAGAGGACAGCGGTTTCCTTACAGACAAGTTAACGCTTCCCGTGAAGCAACTGAGGTTTGGGGATACCTCTTCCTCTGATGAGAAAAGACACCACACCCTTGGAAAGCTTAAGTGTTTTGGACTCATTTAAAAACACTGTAAAATGGACTGTAACTCTATATACCCGCTATATTTGTAGACTTGCCTGATCTGTCGCTAGAATCGCAACTTTTCGTAAAGGAAATCGATTAATACATTTGAGTACGAAAGTAGAGAGTAGAAAAACCCTAGTTTTAAAATTAAGCGTGAATTTAGGCGTCGAAAGCCTCTTTTGCCTTCTTGTAGTTTTGAAACAGAAGTTGTCAATGGTGTGAAAGGGATCTGTTAATACAATAAACACGTAAAGTGAAATCAATCGCAAAGCCTGATCAACCTTCTGACAGTTCAGTAGTTTTCAACAAACTTAGTGATTTAGATCTTAATCGTAATCGTGAGTTTAAGTTAAAGGAACGCAAATGAACTGCGCCAAAAAATAATTCAAAGAAGAAAACGACTGTGAGATGAATTCAACATTAGGAGACAGATGAAATGGTATCTTAAGGCGGATATGTAATTCTTGGTTGATTAAATAAATTGCCATTTCATTCGAATAATAACAATAATAATAATGGTTTAATAAACTCTCTTGCAGTAACTTACTGAATTAACGAGTTATGATACAATGAAAACTTGCTAAGAACGACTATGTACATTTCTTGTATACATTAAGTACAAGTTATATACACCACACGGAACATACATCACATTTGTTAAAAATACTTAAAAGTTAAAAAGTCTTCGGTGCGCTTCGTTCTACAGGTAGTAACGTTTCTGTAAAGATACAACTGGTCTGATTTGTGCCTGAGGTTATAGGGACAGGTATCGTCTAAGCGTGTTGGTAGAAGAGGATGGAGAGGGTGGTTTAAGTCCTTCATTTTGCACATATACTCTTTACATATCTTATCTCTTCTATACGCAAGGGTCTCCACCCGTGCTAACTCGAGGGCTTCTGAGTAACTATCGGCACATGGGAAAATTATCTTAAGCGCCCTTTTCTGTATGGATTCAATTTTGTCAGACAGATAACCTGGAATGGATTGCCATACTGGTACGGCGTACTCTATAACAGATCTAACAGCGCTTGTATAGACCTTTAACATGCTACCTTGGTCAACGCCGGCTCGACGTAGAATACGTAGAGAGTAGAGCTTCTTGCAAGCTTTTTTATATATGTAGTTAACATGACTATTCCACCTAAGGTCGCTATCGATGAATACTCCTAGAATCTTGTAAGTCGATACGCGTTCTATAGTGTTATTACCAATAACTAATGGTCTGAGAGTAAAATTAGGATC